ACACACTGAAATGTCAAAGAATGGGAAAAATTGAGGAAATTATGTATTATTTGAGTATTAGTTTCTAGCTGCAGCTTTACCACTAATGTGTGCATGATGTTCTGCAGGGCATGTAAATCATATGTGTTTGCTTCTTTATGAAAGAAAGGTTTGGAAAGGTCTTTGAACTTTACAAAGGAAAAGTTTATTTCAATGTGAAGTATTATTATAGTACTCCCAAGTTTGGAGTTGATTAAGTTTAATAGGCTTCTTTTTAATATTTAGAGGAAAAAAATCTATGACTATATTTTAAAATTCCGTAAGATAATTAAATTTCTTTGAGAGCCTATAACTGCTTCAAATATAATTTCCATCAGCATATAATAAACACAACCCCAAACCAAAACGTCCATTCTAGTGGCCAATCTAGTAGAAGATTTCTTATGAAAAGTATAGATCCTCCTCATTGATTGCTGCCTGGAGAATTAAAAACTTCAGTCTTCTTTTTGTAAGCTCATAGCTGAGTTCAAAAGGAAAGCCTTATTCTCAAGAACAACCAGAACTCAAAGAAATCCAAAGCCAATCATTTTGGTGAACTGCAACCAGTCATCAATAACAATTTATTGAATGTCTACAAGGTGCCTAGGCATTGAAGTGGCAAGTGATTTATTTGCATTATTCAGAGGATTTCTAAGGGGAATCTGAAGATTTGCAGTCGTTTTTTAAAGATGCAGAGCAGTGTGTGCTTCTCTAATTTAAACTGCCCCTATATAGAATGATTAGAATAATCCGGGTTTCTGAGCCCTAGGGATTTCTAACACCCAGAGTCGACTTTTTTTGTAAGCGAAGACCCCATTGGGTGCTAGGCGACAAGGGGGCTGGTGGTCAGAACACGGCCCCACCAGCGGCTTCTGGGCAAGCCAGGCCCTCCCCAGCCTGGAGCAGGGCCGACTGCGGCAACAGCGGCCCTGACTCGCCACCCCATCCCTCCCTTCCCCTCGCAGTGCCGCCCCCCACCCCCGCCCCCGCCACATCCAGCTCACACCATCTCCCAGTCTCCCAGCCCCGACCGGTTCTCGCGAGATCCGGGCAACTGAGCGCTCGGGGCCTTTTCAAATCGGGATCCGTTACCGCTTCCCCGGCCGCCGCCATTGTCGCGGTCGGAGCCCCCTCAG